CTCTTACTGTTGCTATAGAAACAGATGCTTAGCAAATATGAAGTTGGAGGGCTGGTTTTGGTTGTAGGAACTACTTTCAGCTCATTTGGGGGAGGAGAAAAGAGGAAGAAGGCAGCATAGGCGGAAGCGCCCACAAGTCGGGAGCTGCGTGTAATCGTGTATGTATTGTTAATACATTGGTATGTGTTGGGCACGGCCTGGGCTCTGGAACCAGGCTGCCTGGGCTTGACTCCTGGCTCTGCTGCTTACTAGCTGGGTGACCTTGGACAAATTAATTTCTCTGTGCCTCGTTTTCCTCACCTGTAAAATAAGAATAATAGTACTTTCCTTGTAAGGTTGTTTTGAGGGTTAATGAATCAATACATACAAGTTACTTAGAATGGTGTCATCATCATCGATCTGTCTTTGACGCTTCGGAAGCATGGGCTGCCCGGGGTGCCCGGGAGCCTGCCAGCCGTCAGCCCACAGGAATGCCACAGCTTGTCGATGACTCAGCTCCGTCCATGATGGGGCAGAGAGGGTGGGGTTTGCTCTTCTTAGGATGGTGCTTTTGCCTGAAGGGCCTTCCAGGTGGAGATGGGGAAATAAGGCCCAAACTGGTCCCCAGACTTACTCAGGGCCACATGTTAGCCTCAGAGTGGGATTGCTTGGCCCTGGGCTTTCAATCTAATCTGTAGTTTGATGCCAGTTTTCAAAATTATGCTGCTTTTCCTCTGACTTTCCCCAGTCAAATTCTTGGCTGTTACCAATAGCTTTTGAAGACCAGGCTTCTTTCTACCTACTCGTTTTCCAGTTGAACAAACAAACACTACTTTTTTGTGGTCTTTTTGTAACTTACTGTGTTTCTTCATGCCTGTCTTGCCTCCGACAACCCATCTAGATTAGGGCTGCTAAGCAGGAATTGAGGACGGAGTTGAGGCACAGAACAGAGAAGCAGCAGCCCTGACCCCACCAGTTCCCAGGTGGGTGCTCTTTCTATCACACACATATGAGATTGCCCAGACACTCCCACCTTGGATTTTCTAGCTACTGTAGCAAAACCTTTCAAATTAAGTGCCTGTGATAGAATGTGGTAATAGTCAGATCCATGCCCTGTCCCCTTGTTTCCCTGAGGATCCAGGGCTGGGGAGTGGGGGTTGCCGGGCAGGGGGAGCTTATTGGAGCTTCTCTAGCATGACCCAGAGTCCTTTCTCCACCATTCCCTCCCCTCCCTCTTCCTCATTTGATTCATCCAGCTGGCAATGCAGGGAGGTGTCCAGTTATGGTCCCCACTGCCCCATGGCACAACCCCTGGCATTCTGCCCAGTACACGGCTTCATTGCCTTATTTGCGCTCAAAAATTCATGGTTCTGCTGGTACTTCCCTTTCTGGGAGCACTAATATCAGAAGAGTCCAGCAGTGGGTGATGTGGGGGAAGCCCTCAGGCCACTACATTCCTGATGTCTTACCCAGGCATGGTCCAGAGACTCTGCAGAAACAAGGAACAATTGTGTGGCACTGAGGGGCTTTCTCCCAGGCCTGGGATCCCTTGGGGTGGGGGCTGCCTTTCATTCAGCCTTGCCTTTTCAGCCCCTCTGCATCTGGCTTCTGCTCCCAGGCTGGGTGTTAAATTATGGCTACAGTCCCCTCCCCCACTTCTTTCTGTGGCCTAGGGGTCAAGGCCAGGCACCTGGGGACAGGAGTCCAAGCAGACTCTGGGGCAGGGGTGGGAGAGAACAGTAGGTGTTAGGGGCAACACCTGAAGGAGTCTATGACAAGGATGACAAGGACAAGCTGAAAGGGGGATCCTCTAGACAGACATGTTCAATAGGATGTTTGTTCTGCAAAGATGGAAATATTCTGTAGTCTGTGGTTTCCAACATGGTAGCCATTAGCCATATGTGGCTACTGAGCCCTTGAAATGTGGCCAGTGTGAACAAGGAACTGAATTTTAAATTTGATTTGATTTTATTTAACCAGAAATATTCCTTTGTTTCAATTAAATTTTTAAAATTATGTTTATGGGGGGAGGTAATTAGGTTTATTTATTTATTTATTTTTTAATGGAGGTACTGGTGATTGAACCCAGTATCTCATGCATGCTAAGCAGGCACTCTACCTCTGAGCTATACCCTCCCCCTTCAATTTCACTTCAGTTTAAATAGCCACGCTTGGCTGGTGGCTACCATATTGAATAGTGCCGCTCTAGACAGCTCATTCAGAAATGATGGGGTGCTCTTGAAGCTTGCAGTCCCCCTGGTGAGGCCGAGGAGGGTGGTGTTTTCCCTTCCTCTCAGGAAGAAAGGCTTGTCCTCTCTGGCAATTTCTACACTTCACCAGCTCTGGAATCCTGATGCCCCAGGGCCAACAGGCCCCTGGCGCTGGGCCACCACAACTGGGGCAGTGCTTCCCCACCTCACCAAGCATGTTTTCTGCCCAGCCTTGTCACACACAGGTGCTCACATGCCCAGGCTGTTAATGTGGAGGTGGTGGGTTGGTAGGAAAAGTAGAAGCTTTTGCTTCTTCCTTCCTGCTTCTGTGGAGATTGGGTCTGTGCTTTATTTTGAGTTAAGAGGGTTCTAGAAACAAGCCCAGTAGGGGCCTCCAGAGGTGAACACACAGATCCTCAAACACTTATTGAATGTCCAGTGTTTGGAGGACCCTGAGGCTTATCTAAAGGATCCTCTCTGACTTTGAGAATAAACAGCACTGGCTCCAACTCACACCCTAGAAGACCTTCGTAATACTTTATTTAAATTGCTGTGGCTGATCCTTAAACAGGTTTTTTTTTCTCCTGTGGAAATAGAGAAGAGTTTCCTGCATGTGAAAAAAAGAACAATATTTCATTATGCTTATTCTCTGCTGTCTGCCAGAGGAGGTGGGGATGGGACTGTGTGTGTGGTGCATTTAGTAGACTCAGAAGTGCCCCAGGTCGTGGTGGGGTTTAGGGCAGGAGTGTGGAGGATTTGAGAAAACCATCCTCAGGGTTGGCCCTTGGCTTTGGGCCTTGCAAGAGCTTGGCAAGCAGAGGTGGTTTGGAAATCCCCAGGGGCCATGAGGAAATCCCCAGCAGCTGAGTCTTCGGAGCAGCAGGCCTTCTGGAACCGCCAGTCAGGTGGTCCCCGCAGGCAGCCAGGATGGGACTCTGAGGGGATGAGACTCTTGGTCTTATCAGCAAGGACAAGCCCAGACTTCCCTGCTTGGGCTCCGTGCTCGTGAGATGGTGTGGTGTCAACAGGCTCTGAGTGGACTTTTGGGTGTGCCCAGGCAGGGGTTGGAGAGCCCTAAGCCTCAGTGACTTCTGGGGCAGTGATCTGGGACTGTCCCCCTCAAGCCCACTGACCCTCCTGGATTGCTTGTCCCAGACCTCTCCCCACCACACAGGCTCAAGGCGTCCCTAGAATCTTCTGTTTATTCACAGTCATCCATCCATCCAGTTTATTCCATCAATAACACTTATTGAGTGCCTACCATATACAGGGACTTTTTGGGCTGTGGGGTTGGAGCAGTGATGGTTCATCCTTGCCTCTTCTTGCCATATTCCTCCAGGGATAAGAGAGAGGCCATCTTAGCGCTGCGGGCCTCTCTGTCTCCAGCTCCCTGGGGTCGCCGGGCCGAGGGGCAACCCCAAGGAGATGCAATCCCGCGGCCTGGGTGCCGGCGGGCCCTTGAGAAGGTGGCGGCTGCCCTCTGCCGGGCTCCAGCGGAGCTACAGGGCGGGTGCATCCCTGGGTTCTAGCGCAAGTGCCGGCCTGGCCCCACCCTCGGCCCCGCCTCTGCGCTGGCGGGACCAGGAAGCTAGGCCTCTGGGATTGGAGGGACGAGGCCTGGGGCTGACTCTCCAAACAGCGACCTGCCTCCTGGGCAGGATTGTCTGCGCTCAGCCCTGGGCGGTTTCCTTTCAGCTCCCCTTCCCCTCCCTGCGGCCACCTCTGGGCTTCTTCAGGGGGTCTGTTCTCTTCCACTTTGGGATCCACTGGTCATTGATGAGTAAAATTAAACAAATGAAAAAATTGATATCTCAAAGGATATTGGTCACTGTCTACTAAC